CACTATTCTATACCATATGCACTATTCATACTATAGGTTTTAAATGCCTAACATACATTGCCAAAGAATATATTATTTGTTGTTCTGGTTATCCGTTCATGAGAGCGCTCAGGATGCATATCACCTTCTGGGAAAGAACTTTGTCCCATGTTTACATTTGCTGCTTCACTACGACCTAAAAATGAAAACAGGTATAGTAATAATTGATAAATTTTCTGTAGAAGAATATAGGTTTCACTTCACTGGGATATGTGTAATTACTGGACATAAATGCCTTGCGGACTGAGTTAATCTGTAACCCTACAAAAATTGGTCTCAGACAGTAGAGGCACATCTCTCACTTCAGTACAAATGTGTCCCGCTGTACATATGTGTACATTAATTGTATCAAAGCTATACCAATATGCATTTTGTTCAGACTAAGAAATTCAGGCAAAATAATCAAAGAAATGAGATGTGTTCTGTATTAATCTTACTCTCCATAGTTGGGTATGGGTAGGACTCTGAAGCAGTTGTTTGAAGATGACCAGGACTTCTCTGGTCTCCAAGCTTAAACGTGGTCTGTCTCAACCTTTTTACTGCTTCTTCTTTGTCGAATGGTGAAAAGCTACTGGTGGTTTTAATTGGACGAAATGAATGCTGTTGTGTAGAAATCTTGTCGTTACACTTTTCTTGGTCACCCTGTGGTATGTTAGACCCTCCAGCCTAAAACAGATAAAATGTATACAAAATTAACTAAAGTCTAGGGCGTGAATTTAAAAGGAAATGGCAAAGTAACTATATTTAAGATTGCAGGTAGTTCCTTCAGCTATGAGACTGGTTTACCATGAAGCTGTTGGTGATGGATTACAGCCCCACTCTTCACCCAGTTGCCTTCACCTTAGTGTATATATGTTACCAGAATTGTCGAGCATAGGTTTGAAGTGGGGAGGCTGATTTAATAGGTCTGGGGGGTACTCACACTCCCCTGAAAATTTTGAAATTGAGGGTCTAATAAATACAATTTCTAGTGTCTTGAGACTGGGCAATTGCAACCTATTTATTGCATTAAAATTGTGTCAAAGCGTCTGGCAATTCAAAACAGACAATCTTTAGGTTACAAAAGTGCCCCCATCCCCCCTCCCACCACACCTCGTCAGTTCCTGCAGTATATTTGGTGTATATATATGGTATGTACATGTTCCAGGCTCAGTAGTTAGTGATACTACTTGTTGCATCATGCTCAAGACTGGGAAGGTAATCCAATTGAAAGACTTACCTTTCTATAAACAACTATAACTTACCAGGTAAGAGGGGTCAATTGATTGTTTAGGCAAGTATCTGTTAACAAACTCAGTCTTGGCTGTAGTTATAAACTGGCCATTCTGTGTCCTTGGATCTCCTGTTATAGTAAGTCTTCCACTCAGGTCTCCCTTAGCAAATACAGGACCCTCTGTTTGCTCCCCTAGGTACCTGCTCCGGTAGTCTGACTGTGGCCACACTTCTTTTTCTTTGTCGCCTTAAAAATGAATATCAAACCCATATTTCACTACTTGAATACCATTACAGTCACAGTAAATCATACAATAGCTAACGTAGGGGGAGGGTGGGGGGCATCCAGACTTCCCTGTTTTACCTGAGGTTCAATGATTGTTTTATACTAGAATAAAATTTTGCCACAAGTTTGAAGTATTTTTTAATTTTTGAAGAAATGTATTTTTAATATTTAACCAGAGAGGAGGTTGGGAGTCAGTTGACGTGAGAAGACCCACCAGGTTCATAATAATAATGGGATTAATAGTGGATTCCAAAGAGTGGCTCTTCTTCCACTGGATTCCAATTGGAATTTAGAAGTTAATTTTAGTATATGTTTGTACCCCTACCCTCTCTTAAAAAGTCCTGGATCCGCCCTTATCATAGGATAATATATTACCTTGAGGGATACAGCTTTTCATCCACTCCGTCTTTGTTGTACTGGGATGTGTTTTTGCCTCTTGTAGTGGTCTGACAGGGAAGTACTCTTTATGTGTTGTCTGGAATGAATTGAGCTTGGAATCTGAGTCTCCTTTAAAATTAGTTTTTCTTAAGGCATATGACGCAAAGTCCTCTTTAACTCTTTTGGACAAAGGCTTTTTCACAAAGTGGCTTTTGGTCATGGAAATAGTGTCTGCATATCGGTCATCTTTGTGCATAATCCCAGCTGGAGGGGGTGATGGTATGCGGCCTCTTTTGGTCAATGGTAAAGGTGGGTAATCGATCTTAAAAATGCTTTTGTGAGCTTCAGGATCATGTCTGGGACCCCATCTGCTGTCATTACTGATGCTGAAGTGTGACGCAGCCAAGAACTCTGTTCCAGTCTTCTGTGTCTGGATTTTGTTTTCAACCTCCATCATGTTCTCTGTCAGTAAGCTGTAAATCAAAGAAATAGATCCAATTTAAAACTTTCTTAGGAAGGTAAGGAATTATAGATCGAAAGAAGCTTCACATTTATTTTATCACAACCATAAATATAAATCACTCTTATTAGCTTTGATTTAGAAATAGCAAAAGTAAAATATACTAATTAAAAAGGGACGAGAAATGTAAGCTCTTTCCCCTCAATATAATGGTTAAAGAAACCTTTAATTATGAGAATTCAAACTAATTTAATCTTTTAAAGAGGTAAAGAACTGTTTGAGGCGAATAAAAAAGCGTTTAATGAATAGCAAGTTTAGTCAAAAGTCACTTTTTTGGCTTTCGACTCCTATCTGGCATTCGGGATAGTTGTAATAAATTTTTGGCGAGAACTAAACTCAGATAAAGTTAAATTAGCTTAAAAGAGTTAAATGATTTCGAAGCATGAAAGCAGTGTTCGGAGACGTCTTGTTCAGAACTCAGAGAACTCAAGAACGTTCTTTTTTCCTATCGAACTCTAAGAACCCACAGAAGTTAAACTAAAGGCGAATGCTCCTTTTATTCATGARCTAAGATAACTTTTTAAAGGGAGAAATACTTACTTAAAAACTTTGTTTCAGATTTGTCACCACTGCGCTTCCTAGTCCTTTGGAATGTGTGTGCAAAACACATGATAACAATCAACAATGACTTGAAGTTGTCATAGCAACAATTATCGTTAATCAATAAAAGTGTTATACTAGTTATGTGGAAGTTAGCAAAAAAAGAATCCCAAAAGCTTTAAACGAATCTGGATTGCGTTAAGATAGAATTACGATAATATACATCTTAATAAATAGATTTTACCACAAAAAAAAGATCAATGGTTGCAGTTGATCGACCACGGATCACTTCCGGTCTAGTAATACCCTTCCCCTGATGCTCCACGATGAATAATTTGGCGCAAAAAAGGCGCCAAATTTGATGATCAAGTCACATCGGAAGAGTTGATCATCAAGATCGTCGTGTTTTGAAAATTTCCCCTCAAATCACTCAAGATGGTAAGAACAAAAGCTGATGGCGGTGGGAGGAAAGGTCAGTGTAATCAAGCAAACTTAGTTATTTATCGTCAACAGTGATAAAAGTAGTCGTTTTTCTTTCGAGAAAAATGAGCTAAACTACACCACTACTGGATTTGACCCCTCGATGTATTAAAACGGTGTTTTCAAATACGATTTAAGCCTAATGGCGGCGAACTTAAATGTGTTCCCTTTATTCCAGCTTTAAACCATAATTTTTGATACTATCAAACGGTTTAGCTAAAGATCTGATACTGGGTCAAAATGATTGCTTCGAGTAAGAAGACTGATAGAATCGCGAGATTGTTCATTTGTCATTGAAAACGACACGTTTCAAAGCAGCCTTTTTGTGTGAAATAAGTAGACATGTAAATAACACGGAAAATGAGTGCAAAAGTTTTGCAGTGCTCTGGAAAGCATACCCGATTATTCGTTTCGATCTTTTTGAAACTCGACAGTAAGAGAATGCAAAGACTAGAGATGAGATACATACGAAGCAGAGGTGACGTGGACTTTACTAAATCAATGCAATGCAGTTTGGGGTGGGAGGTGGGGGGGGGGGGGGGGGGGGGGGGTGTTGGGTGGGTGCCAGATAGTTGGGGTGGTAACGTAGTTGGGGGTAGAGTCTGAACAATCCGACCCTCCAACAGTCCTCGCTATCAAAAGTCCAAGATGTTTCTATCAATAGATGTCACTTCCTGTAATAGCTGCCATTTTAAATGGCTTGAAGAAACTTGGAGGTTGTTTTGATCGCTTGTTTTCTGGTTTCATGTCGTAGAAATAGTCAAATACAATAGTCTGAGGACTTATTTTGACTTAACATCCGCTAGTTGCCCCTCAGTTAATCACTTGTTTGCCTCCCAGTCAACTACAAAAAGTCACGATTGATAGTGAGCAATAGAAAAAATAAGACTTGCTAAAAGTATTAACTAGATAATTGTTTATTGGGTTAGCTGTGGCAGCTAAGGCTCCACGTAAGCAAGTTGGTGGTGGATCATCAGACAGTGCTGGATCAATGATGTCCCCTGGTAAAAATTCTGGAGGTTGTAATGGTGGAAACCCAATAAGATGGTGGCCAACTCCTGACTGGCAAAAAGGTTAGTTGAAAATAATAATTCCTTTATACCATCATTTAGAGGTTCAAGGATGGAAGTGCACTTGTCTCTCACCTTCGGAGTCTTCCTTGACTCAAGGGTTTTTCTTGGGGTTGTGTGAGTTAGCTGTTCCCCGACTTTGATCAGGCCAGAGGTTGTTTCAGGGTATCTATAAAATTTGAAGGTTTATAGTTAGACACCCCACTATGACAGATTTTTACGAAATTTACTTTTTAATTCTCCCAATAAATTATTACTATAACACCTTGTTACAAAAGACATCAGCATCAAACAGCATAGACTAGAGCAGTCCCACTTTTTCTGCTCGGACACAGTTAAGACGTTTTTTTTGGATTCCTTGGATGCACAGAGATTGGAGCCAGGTAGTCAGCGAGTACTGGCTCTAATCTCCATCTCCAATCCACTGAGCCCGGAGGTTAAAGCTGAACTGCTTTTGTTAGCTTTTGGGTGTATCTGTATCCAAAGAGTCTGTGTTTTGACACAATCAAAATCAGTCTTGATTCTTAGGTTACTCAATGCAAGAGATGTTATCTTGACATGCTGACACTACATCTCCCTATCTATGTGGCAGGTGTTGGAGACTTTTTTCCAAAGGTTGATAACAGCAAAAAAAGCAGCCAAACATCAGAGAACTCTTCATCAGAGTCATCCACAAGCAATACGAGCAGTGATACTGATCAGCCTGGTGTTTCTAACAAAGAACTGGGACTTGAAAAGCATTAAAGTGATAACGGAGTAGAATTTGTACAAATGTAATTCCATTTATTTTGTCATAGATAAAATACTAAAACATAGGTATTGTGCCAGCTTGCACATCAAGAAAACGTATCCAATGGACATATTATTATTCATGTTGAATATATCCTATCATCTCCTATCATATCGTTTATAGGTTTTGTCACAAACTGTTTAGTAGTTTACTGTCACATTGACCATATTCGTGAGTTAGTCTGCAAATAATAGATCTGTGAAAAAAATTAATTACTACTGTAGTAAGTAATGCTTGTAAAATGGTGCTATTGTATTCTTGCAAAATTCAGTTGTCTGGTGGAACTGCTAGTGCAAACCATATCCAAACCTGTTAACATAGATTGTTATTAGATAAAGGTTAAAATCTATTTGATAATTGATATTCTATACACAGGAAGGTTGACAAACAATATCTTCTTACAACTTGATTCATTCTGCTTGAAGCACATAGCAATAATATCTAGCTATTTCACAGGTTTATTTTCTGTGCTTTGAGCTTGTACATATTTTGAATAGAGACTCTTTCTTGCCTTAAACCTTAAATATGCAATACACCATTACATTCTTCAAAATAAAAATGTGTTACTTCATATCTATTCTGATGATAAATAAACATTATTTGATACTTGTGAAATTTATGCATTTACACTTGCTTATATAACTTAGCTTGCGTGTAGCTGAACACAAAACCTGGGTTAGTTGGGGTTGTTACCTGTCCATACAGGCTAGTTTACCTTTTTGTGTGTTGTATAAATAAGTACTGTACACAGGTTTATTTCCGATTACAGCTTTTCTTTTCTTTTTCATTATTTTACCATATATTTTCTAATTGTTTACTCCAAGAGCCATAACGACTCATCTAGGGAGATCTTGCTTTTCTTGTCTTTGCTTTGTTGGATAAAACCTGCTTTTTCCCCATTGTTTTACTACAATAAGGTTACTATTTTTCTAAATAGAATTGAAAAATAATGCTAACAACACRTTAAAGCACAATCAGTATTGGGGAGAACAATGCAAATCACATGTATAAATGCAGAATGAGACAGGATTGCAGTCTCTTGCAAACTCTTCATCAATTTTCTTTCCTGGCATGTTGTCAGCAGACCAAACAAGCACAACACTGGTTCTGAACAAATCGTTGGCTAAATGTGATGCCAAACATCAGGGTAATTTGTATCTCAGATTGTCATTTTTCATCTTGTACATTGTATTAATGAAGAAATGCTTTCATTAAAATAAGTTCTTCTTTCTGCTGCACTCAATTGTGAGGTATTTCATTAATTCTTTCAATAATTTCATGTACTATCTCAGCTACTGGTTTTTCAATATTGATATTTAGTGAGCAAGATGAGTTGTCTGAAGGCTCAAAGACCTCAAACTGAGAATCAAGTAAAGAGAGTGGCATAAAGTGTTGGTCACGTTGTACCATTCTTTCTTGTATAAGTCGTTTAGAACCTTCTAAGAACACAATTATGTAATCCTGATTTGATTCATCTGTGCATACTGTAGTTGATCCTTTGCCATGGAGAATAATTTGTCTRTAACAATTCTTGAGAGCTGAGCAGGCAAGAATCCCAGATTCAGAATTAGCACGCCATCTGCAAAAGATGTTTGTGAAAGAGAAATAAGACATGTTAAGACATTTAGTTATTTCTTTTGGTGCTTTCTTTTGTACCTTGTTGCCTCTGAATTTATTTCATGGGTACTACAGTATTAATTACATTTTCAAGTGGGGGCTGGTGGCAGAAGTGGGGAGCTAAAAGCAAACAAACAAGCTAAATGCAATAGGGAAATTTGAAAATGCCCTAAAAAAGTGGGGGTTGAGCTCCCCCAAACTCTTAAGTGAGGCCCCTGCTTCCAAAAGTTTATGATTACTTCTCAGCCATCATCACAGCTGAGATCCCAACAACCTATACTGATCGCTTGCATTATTACCCCATCGACAATGGCATTCCATCCAACAACCCACCATATTACAGGCATTAATAACCAATACTCTACCGAAAGCCTGCCATTTTTTTAACATCAACCTACCATTAATTATGATCCTGTCAATAACCATATAAACAACCTACCAATATGCTATAACTTAGCAGCAATGATTTGGGGGTTGTATTGTTTACTATAATTGCCAATATATGTGTAGTTTATAATATAAGTATTTGACATGGCAAAGCATTTGAGTATACCTGTCCAATTTATTATAAGAAGGATACTCTTGATTATGGTTGCAATAAACAAGTTAATTTAATATAACACATCCTGTCTGACTGGATCATAAAACTTGTCTGAGAACAGTCAAAGGAAGGTATAGAAGCAAAACCTTCCTGCTGGTTGTATGGTGTCAACACCATCGTCTATGATAATCATGCTTTGAAGCTATTAGCAAGAAGGTACAGAATGTCGGACATACCCTTACTTTAGAATGAGTTTATGTAAAGACCTCAACCAAGGAAGCCTGTCCTGAAAGAGATGATAAATAGTACCAATAGGTATTAAATGGAATTAAAATGGAATATTATCATTCTAATACACTGACGTTTTTTTTTAAATCAATTGATTTCATACTGCATAGAACGGTCTGAACCCAGGTGAATGAATGTTAATCGAAGTAATATGATCATCCGATGGATGTAGTCCTGAGAAGGATGATGTGACTGACGTTTCGACAACCTGAGCGGAAGTTATCTTCATATTATGATCATATTACTTTGATTAACATGATTTCATACTGTTATTTTCTATTTTAAAAATTACTAAAATGGAAAGCCCATCTGCAGGTCTACCGTGCATACAGTGCATAGTGACTGAATAGAGATAGATCACAAACCTCATCAGTCAGGGGAATTCCTTGCTTCATTTTACTGACATTTGCCGTAGAATGAAAACTGTCAGCATCTTCAAATGGCCAACCTATCTAAAAAATGGCACCAAAATGGATTATTTAATTTATCAACTATTAGGATTTATATCATATTTACCTTAGTAGTAATTAATACCTTTTCAGCCAATGCCTTTCCAACAGATGATCTTGGATAAATCAGAGGGAAAAAAATAAAACTGAATGGATTGAATGCTGATTTTTTTCATCAAACTTTATTCAAGCATCCCTAACTTAATGATTAATATAGTCAATGTACTTATTAACTTTTTATAAAATAATCAGTTTTTTGACATACTTTCCACAGCCACACACTCCAGCAATTAAAACGATCACCATTTCTTGCCTTTCAGTTTGCAAGTGTAAGGGTGACAACAAGGCTGTACAATTTCTTACTTAGTTCTGCTCAATTTCCTGGAGAAGTCCTCCTAGGATATCAAGTATCAAAAAAATATAGCATTATTACAAGGGAAACTTGGATTCTTAGTAACATCAATCGAGGATAGAAATGGGAAAACATAGATTGTGTAGTTCCAGAAATTATCCATACCCCCCACAGAGGAATTTGGAATTTCAGAGGGGTAGGGGGTCATAGAATGAACACAATCACAGAGTTTGTATGGATGAAGATTGGAATTTCCAGGAGTGGGGGAGGGTTTTTAAAGAAATTCCTCCATGGGCAGGGGTGGTTATGGGCCACATATTTTGCAAATACAAAACATATGGGATATATAGATGGCATCTATATATGTGCTGCAGGCTGCTAATGCTTTGCCTCTGACCATGCATTGCAACAAGGTTCGATTCATTTGTTGTTTCCCTAATGTACTTCAAGGATTTTTCTCAATCCAGGTTCTATGGTTTTTCTCCCTCCACAAAATCAACTTTCAAATTCCAATTTGTTTAATAAATAGACATCAGTTTTTTTAATGTGCCTGTCATTTTATTGATGATAAATAAATTGCGTCGTCACATTGTCAAAGTAGCATGGATCAATGTGATGATCAAATTTAATTATCATCAATAAGAGGACAGACAACATAAAAACTGGTGTCTATTTAGTTTTATCTTTTTTCTGTATTTGTTCCTTATCATGTGGCAGAAATCTAAAGCACTGTTTCTTCTACCACTTCTTCTCAACCCCTAGCACCCCCTTCTCACAATTTTCCCCTCTCTATGACCTGGTATTAGCGACATGTCGTTTTTAGCCTTATATAAGCTTATGTACATATGAAAAAGGAAAAAAAGCTTATATAATATATTAATATAATCACTGCATAATTCTTTGATGAGTAATAATACCAACATCTGTGCATTTAGCTAGGCTGCAAAATAATTTAAAGGCGATTGGTCAACTCACTTTTTAACGGCGTTCTGCATGATTGCTGATAGACTGATGACTGTCCGATGGTCAGGACAAGAACAATCAATGCCCTTGGYATAACAACCAATAAGAATAATAAGAATTCTTAAGAAGCAACTAGAAAACACGTCACGGCTTTATAAATATATTCTTTGTATATTTATGTGTGAGTTATTGATCATCAATATTGAAATAAAACCCCCAAAATCCCTTGTTAAATACCTTGAATAACAACAATTGAAAATGAAGCTAGAGTGGAGAGCATAAAGATTTACATTTACAATGAGCAAATGAGAATGTGACTTCTTTGTATGTTATGCGGCGAGGTAAGGSGTTAACGCATGCGCATTAGTGTTGAGTCTAAGGTCTAAAGTTTAACGCGTCCACTCTATCCTGATCGTGTATGACTTTAAGCAAGTCACTCTGCTTGGGTATTTATTCTACACAACAAATAGCTTAACAAAAATGCTTAAAATTGGCAGTAAGAGTAATCTCGATACCGAGTATGTGTGCAAGATAAGCTTACTTGATGACACTGAGATGACGTGCGAGTTTCGGGTAAGTAAAACTTTTTGGTTGTACAACAACACTTCCTAATTTTAATACCGGAAAACACCTAAAGCTGTGAAACACTACCTTTTGTCAGTATACGTTCCTGTTCAATTACGGTTCTGAAAGAGGAATATACCTAGCATGAYAGCATAGAATCATAGATTGGTTTGTCTCATGACTTTTTCATTATGGGAATACAAGTAAGCTTAAGCTTATGCAAAATTGAAGGTAACGCAGAGCGAATGGTAGCAAGCAAACATGACCCACAATAGACCATTGCCAGCAGCTAGCTTCCCCTGAAAAGATGGTATTTTTACATTGCAGCAAAATATGACTCAATTTTGATGCCTCTTGCTAGCTTCAGAAAAGGTTTAAAGTGAAAATAATATCAATGAATGTTATATATGTCCGGTGACGGTCAAGAGAGTATTTCCTGAACTTGGTCGATGACCCAGGCGTCGCCAGCCATTCTTGACTGGACTCGTTAAAAATATTCACTATTAAATATCGCTATACTGCTATCGCTAAAAGAAACAGTTCATGCTTTGTTCTCTCCTTTGTTCATAAAGCTCATAAACTCTAAAAGAAATTTTGTATAATTGCAATAAGCGCGATTGAGCTTCCCAATATGCACGTTTTCTTTATATCTGCGGTTTTGCCGCGATCTCTTTATAGCCTTTATAGTTTATTCATTATTTTCTTTACGTTGATTATAAATGCCGCAAAATGATCCAAATTGCGATTTTTCAACTGAAACATCAAAAGCCAAAGCTTTCATTTCGGTAAAGAGCAAAAAACAACGCTAGCTTTCACACTTTTCTGTGTTATTCATTGTAAATTACATGCCAAAATAAATTAATTTCATTTGCTGTAAGCAGAATTATTAAGTGGTAAATCAGGCAGGCTCGTGGAAGCTTTTGTGTTCTCTTGTTATCTTTAATGCTAAGTTTATAGCTTATATTTGACTCGATTTTTTGTACTTTCTTACTACTGCAGAGAGATGCGAAAGGACAAGTTGTATTTGATACTGTCTGCAAGTCTCTGGACTTACTGGAGAAAGATTACTTTGGACTACGATTCGTCGACGATTCCAAGCAGAGGGTAGGTCTGAGTGTTTTATTCATCAAGCAAACTTTCTCTAATCTTGTTCAAAACTTTGAAAAGCATTTACGAATGTTGCTTTGACAAAGTAGTGCAATTTTAGTGATACAAGTCATGTGGAAGCTTTAACAGGTGGTGCTTTCTTACAATGTTGGTAATATTATGACGGTTGTATGTTAAATATATATATATATATATTTAGCGTATCTTCAAGCTTATAATCTTTTGACGTTTCAGAACCCATTTTCAAATCACCCATTACAAAAAATAGAAACATCTACAAATACATGTAGCTTGTTGAAAAATTAAGGGAGTTACTTTTCAATGAGAAGAGGCAAGGAAAATTAGAATGGTCACCATACTTACCTTTTGAAATATTACACTTGTTGGCTCTTACCAGGCATAAAATAATGATGTGGAAAATTTTTTTATACAACTTGCATACAGCTAATAAATCATCATTTGGGTACTCGACTACTCCAGGTCATGTGACCCTACCCCMTTTAAACCAAGGAGTTGTATCAAATAAACACCACAAATGGTATCACCTCAGTATCAGCGAGGTCGGAAATTAATTTTTCCGAATTTAATTCCAAGGGCTTTCGCCCGGAATAACCTCGTTCCCAAGCACTATAACTTATCTATATTTCTATATCTTCATGTATTTCATTAGTGCCATGCGGTCCACATATTCTCATCTTCACCTCAATATTAGCGAGAGGGCAAATTTTCAGCCCATTTTGTAAAATATACTGGCATCCAGCTGATCTGAAATAGTGACATGTTATAGTCAATGACGTCACTGGAAAATTGAGGTGTCAAAAGGCTTACCTGTGAAAAATGAGCAGTGAAAAATAAAATCCTGTCCACTATTGCAATAGGATATAAAACTCATTGGTTATTGTGTTACTGTTATCAACCTCTTATTAGCATGTTTKTTTTTTTTTGGAAATCCATAATTTCAAAAGGAAAAGTGACACGTCAGTTTTGCAAATGTTTTTGATTCTGTTTGGCTAACATTTTCTCTCAGATCAGTTTGTAGCTCATTAAGTGTATTGCCAGGATTGCAAACTTCTGCAAATCCAGTGCATTTTTCCATACAAATGCCAATTATGTGCAAGTCCATATATTTTGCAACTTTGCTGTGTTTTGATATAACTAGCTACGCACACAGGTTTATTCATCCTTGACTTTGGGTATATGGCTTTGGTATGATTTAGGAAAATGTACTGAATACCTCATGGCTCAATAAAGCAATCCTATAAAAGATTTCATTACAAAAGTAATATTTCATGATATGAGGTCCTAAGCCTTTAAAATAATCTTTTACACATTTGAAATTAAGATTTTTTATGAAAACTAGTTTCGTCTTTATAAACCTTTTTTAATCCTTAGATACCTTTAAGGACTGAAAATGTCTATAGAAACTAGTTTCCATAACGAATCTATGTGTAAAAGACTAAATCTTTCGGAATCCAAGCAAAGAAAATAACAGTAAAGAGTAAGATTGATTTTTAATTCCAATATTTGCCAGACTCATCAATACTAACAATACAATAATTGATTTAAAATCTCTGTTATGTAGATAAAATATGAGAATAGTAAACTATAGTAGATAGTTGATGGTAACTGATAGAGATAGGAATATGTGCAAGAAATTTTGGTAGTTGTAGTATATGAAGTTATCGTATCAAACTTTTGCATGCTTATTTTCCTAAAAAGAGACTAAAGAGTCTAAAACTAATTAAGCTGTAATTATATTCTGTGGGTAATTTGAAATAATATGAATGATAATATTTTGTGAGCTAACAATAAACAGTTAACTGTTGAATTTTGGAAAATATTATACTTATAATCATACTGTAGATTTTATACAAAATATAACATTATAAATTTAAGCAAATTGATGTCCAAATTGAAAGATATGTTTGATTATTTGATGTGTTAAGACAATAATGATAGGATAGCAATAAAAGCAATGTTCTATATACTGTATGCATCCTATAAGTTATTTTTGCTCACTGCTAATATTAAGCATATTATAAAACACTAAAAATGGTTTCTGACTATCAGAACGAAAACAATTTAATTCAAAAAAACTAATTATTTGGTTGGAAAAAATGCATTGAAAAAGCCACAAATATTGGTTTAAGAAAACAATTTGCTATTATTACTGTTGTGACCATATGGTCATTACAATATATTTACATGATATTAAGCTGGATGACTATTTTGGTGAATAATAAACAGAAAATTGAAAATTGAAACTTTGATAACCTGAAATTTAATGCTGATTTTTGTTCAGGTTCTACGATGTGCAAGTTATTGTAAAAATTGAGCACAAAACAAACAGAACGATTTTTTACATTGTTCTAATGAACAGAATTGTCTTAAACTTTGAAAAATAATGGGCGGTGGCTGACTACTTTGGGAAAAAAAACGAACAGAAAATTGAAAATTGAAACTTTGATAACCTGAAATTTAATGCTGATTTTTGTTCAGGTTCTACGATGTGCAAGTTATCGTAAAAATTGAGCACAAAACAAACAGAACGATTTTTTACATTGTTCTAATGAACAGAATTGTCTTAAGCTTTGAAAAATAATGGGATGTTACCTGTTTTTCCGGAAAATAACAAAAAATATAGAGAGAGAGAGTCCTGTGCAAAATTTGAGGGTCGTGCCATCTTGAAGTTTAAAACGTGTAGGTTCTTCAATAAAATTGTGAAGATTATTCAGTGATTTTTGAGCGTGAGTACATTGTGGGCTCAAATTGGATGTTGAAAAGCAGTCAGCCACCTTAAAATACACATTACTGAAATACCCAGCTATTTCATAAAATTAGTATTTATAAGTACTGATTACTACACAGTAGAAAGCTAGAGATAAATTATATTGAATCTTTAGAAGCCAAAACAAGGTCATTATAAACCAAAATGATAATTTCCCATTACAGTCAGACTACGTGTCATACTCCTTGGAAAAGAGCCTTCACAGCACTTTTAATTGCAGCTCAATATGGTGGGCAATAGTTTTCCAATTCTCAGAAAATTGAAGTTATTTTGTTTTGTTTTCCAAATTGAGCTCCTTTAACATCACATGCGAGGGGTCTATAAGATTCTCTGTTTGAGTTGTATCCATATTCATTTTTCTTTTGATAAGCAACCATTAAAGAATTGATATTCTAGGAAATGGCACAGTATGATATGGAAAACATTATATCCAGGTTAGAGGTTTGTAGATCTTAGTTTGAGTGAATTGAGACTCATTACAATTCATCATTCATTACTCAGTATTGATAAGGACAATTATTATTCGTAATTATAGGTGTTATCAATGATATTTATTCAAAAATTGTGTATCTAAAACTAACTTCTCACCTGGTTGTTAACAAATGGACAGTATGGTTTTTTGCATGAAATACTAAAAGAAAATGGTTGTCTAGCTTTCTAGGCTGGGTTTGTGAAAATTTAATTGATTATCACCATTGCATTATGCTCAGAGGAAGTAACCAAACAGGTGTATGGGACAATCTTAAAATGTGATATTTAAATGATAAAGAATCCTCACTAAAGAAGAGGATTAGCCATCACAATTTATAATTAATATTACAGCACTCATTAAATAGATTAATTGTTAGACAAGATTCCTTGGCAAGGTTTCTGTTTAGAAAAATCTTCCTCAATAACTTTATTGTCAACATTACTTTGTAAAACTGGCATTTATTATTATGTCACTGCTAATTTTACAATAATTTACAAATTTCTTGCRTGCTGATTGGTTATTTTTATCATCAATAAGAGAGGACAGACAGATAAAGCTGACGTCAACGAGCTCACGTCTTTCCGTTGGTTGTTTTGATCTCTAAAAATGAGAAGTTTTTATGGTTTTTGTTATCATAAATGTAATAGTTACTACCCTACCCCCTAGGGAATTTGTAAGTACATGCGCATGACTGCGAAGTATGCTATGTGAGAGTCAAAGGCGAGGAGTTTTCCCAAGTAAAGATGTTTATTCTGTTAGTCTTGGATTTGCCTTTATTTAGAACCTAGCAAATGCTACATAAAAAACAAATAGACATCAGTTTTTAATGTGTCTGTCCTATTATATTGACTATACATTTTGTCTTCACATTGTCAAAGTAGAATGCAGATCCACTCGGCTATGCCTCTTTGTCAATTCCCATCCAATCGCTCTGTTTGATTCAAGGCAGTCTAAAAATTGATACATGTATACTGTGAATAAACTTCATTCAAGCTACAGTACACTGTGCCCAGACTCTAAAACTGTAAATGTACTTTTACAAAATGCTACTTGAATCAGTTGGTATGGGCAATTTGTCTAAAAATATTCATTACTAGTACACTTATTATAGCCTTAAAGGTTCAAACAAGACTAGTGGACACAAATACATACATATTTCAAGGTTAACTAGTATACAGAGTATTTAGGTTGCTGGTTGCAATTTCATTTTTTTATTTTTTATTGGGAAAGTAGTCTTAAAATGTTTTGGGGTTGTGTAACAAAACTGGAACAAACCATTTATTTATAGTTTGTGACTGTTTATTTCATTCTTGCTTATATCTTATAGTCATAGATCACATACTGGGGTGGATCCAGGAATTTGTTCAGGGAGGGGTGCTGTGCACAAAGTTAACCCAGGGAGGGGTACACCCCTTAGAATCAAAGGGAAAAACATTATTTTGTATTGGTTATCTTCAGAGTAGGGGTACAAGGTCATTTGACCCCCTGCACCCCTCCCCTTGATCCGCTGGTGACATACTGTAATACTGCTTTTTATGCAAATTTAATTGATAACACACCAAAATAAATAAATAAACTAGAATGTTCTTCCTGTACTGTAGTTTTTTAATGATTTTGTAATCCATTGTTCTAATATCTTTTTCAGCACTGGCTTGATCTAGGTAAAAGTGTTCTCAAACAAATGAAATGTAAGTTTACTATTCTTCTTCTATGAACCAATCGACTTTAGTTGATACTTTAAACAAGGATCAAGTTTATAAAGGAATAAAAAAAAGTAAAAGTAAAGTATTAAGAGCGACTTTCTGTAAGAGTCGACCAAACATCGGCACAAGTCAAAAAATCGATTTCGCTCATATTT